ATGATACACATGATGACACATGATTACAATGATACAGTGATGATACACACGATGACACATGATTACAATGATACAGTGATGATACACATGGTGACACATGATTACAATGATACAGTAATACACATGATACACATGATGATGATACATGATTACAATGATACAATGATGACACATTACAATGATGATGATACATATGATGATAACAATTACACATGATTACAGTATATACAATGATATTACAATGACACATGATTACAATGATGATAATGATTACACATGATGACACATGATTACAATGATACAGTACAGTGATAATGATACACATGATGATGATTACACATGATTACAATGATACAGTAATGATACACATGATGATAACATGATTACAATTACATACAGTGATGATACACATGATGACACATGATTACAATGATACAATGATGAATGATACACATGATGACACATGATTACAATGATACACATGATGATTACAGTAATGATGACATAACATGATTACAATGATACAGTAATGATACACATGATGACACATGATTACAATGATACAGTAATGATACACATGATTACAATTACAATGATACAGTAATGATAACATGATGACAATGACATGATGATACACATGATGATACATGATTACAATAATCATATACACATGATGACACATGATTACAATGCGTACACACATGTTGCTTGTACATGGTATACATGATTGTACTCGTGATGGTGCTCATGATAATATACATGGTGATTACTACACTGCGTGTACACATGTTGCTTGTACACATAATAACGGTATACATGATGATACTCATGATGGTGCTCATGATGATACACATGATAACATACAGAATCATGACTATACACGTGATGGTACAAACACGCCCCCGCCTGTTGCTAGCGGAGCTGGATGTGAGCGGTACAAAGATAAAATGATCACAGTAAGATCAGGTTACTGAACTACATACCAAAGATCCCAGTCAGCTTAATTGATAGTACAGGCGACACAGTCGACGATGTCGCAATCAATACACCTGTCGTTGTTGCTGAGTGCCCCGCTGTAGCCGGATTTACATTATGCATCTCACTGCTTCAACAAAGATCTAGTTACCAACCTTGTGTACACCACATAGGCACATTGTGTGAAGCCTGATTCCGTGATGCCCATGAATATTGCTGAAAGCTGCGTATCATGCCCAGTCACTTGATGTCATATCATAACATTGTGTTATAAATGTGTAATAAATAATAGAGAATTGCTTTATAAATTGGACATTGCGACACAGGCGATTTTACGTTACGACAGAAAATAAGTTTAACAATAAATCTTAACTTTGTTTAGACATAAAGTGATTTATAAGAATTATCTGTCTAACTTAGGTTATGTTCGGAAGGAAGGATCTAAGTGGGACAGAAAGTAATCAACATAACATAGGCGGATCCAGAGGGTGGGGGGTCTGGGTCTGCGGGGGTGCACGGGGTGCGCATCCCCCTTTTGTTCTGAAAGTTTATTAATTGACCATTGAAACTCTCGTGAAAACGGGTGAAAATGAACTGTGCACCCCCTCTTTCTCAAATAGCTGTATCCACCGCTGTATATTGCAGCTCGATGGTGGTATGTTTATCCCTACACAGATCCTGTATTGTGTGTGGCTGGATTGTCGACCTTGCCCCGAGTATGTGCATGCCCTTCCTCAAGCCCTGTAACCTGCATGAAACAATTTCACTGAACGTAAACTATGCAGTGAATTTTACAGTCTACTTAAACCGACACTAAGTGTTTACTGGCTAGGACAAATTGAAACTACACTCTATATCGCGGATGTATGATCGGAATTGTACAAATGTACAACTGTAATATATACAATGGTCAATGTATATATGTAATGTTTGATATGCATTATATTAATGATTGATATGTCCTGGGGGATATTATGGTCCTATGTTTATCCTGCCTTATTGGTACAGTGATTGTTTCGCAAAATACATAATTTTTCCTGATACTAAATACTGCTCTCCAGGAGGAACATGTTGCTGTTATACACCACCAATACTCAACTATGCGCATACATCACCATGGCAACGGGGCCACGTGGTATCATAATACTGATATCATATCTGTCTTGATACACTGGAGGACTCCACTATCATTGACACTCATGCTCAGCTGACATAGCAGTCTCAGCTGACAAGTGCTCATCCGTGCTCAGATCAAGCCATTTCACCTTCATACTATATTCAACAATCTTCACATTTTATTTTATTCGAATATTTCACGTACAGACACATATATCATACAACCGTCTCAGGATTCAGGTCTGATTCCACCATCTCAACAGGTCATCTTGTTCAACGATCTCTACTGGTCATCTCATTCAACAATCTCTACAGGGCATCTCATTCAACTATCTCTACAGGGCATCTCATTCAACCATCTCAACAGGTTATCTCATTCAACCATCTCTTAGGGCATCTCATTCAACATCTCTACTTGTTATTTCATTCAACCATCTCTACAGGGCATCTCATTCAACTATCTCTACAGGGCATCCCATTCAACCATCTCAACAGGTTATCTCATTCAACCATCTCTTAGGGCATCTCATTCAACCATCTCTACAGGGCATCTCATTCAACCATCTCTACAGGGCATCTCATTCAACCATCTCCACTTGTTATTTCATTCAACCATCTCTACAGGGCATCTCATTCAACTATCTGGATACATGTTCAGTTTATGTATGGCCACACGTTTTCTGTCAGCAGATGCTGTAACCGATGTCTCGCCAATGTTTTTGCTTCATCTCGATCTGGCAAGGATACGTACTTTGTACCAGGACATATACAATATTCACATGACACATTTCCAGAGAATGAATACTTCTGTCAGTAGTTTTTCATGTGAAGCATTTTCCTTACAGGGGTCTTGATAACCTCTGAGAGTGCCACATTACCATCCACGCTGTCTTGGCATTGTGTATAAGTATTCCCCGTCTCCCCAACAAGCACTGAACGACCATCAATCATCGGTTGTTTGTACCAAACCCGACCTCGTGTCATAAGACCTCTCCAGTATATCTGGACCCCGGTGACCTGCCAATCATCACACTGTATAGTTACAGAGATACGGACTTTTTGTTTGTTTTGTGTTTAACGTCTCACCTTGCAATAATCAGCTGTATAATCGAGTCCAAACCAGGTTAATTAGCGATGATCTTTGCCGTCGGAGTACGATGACCGAGGAAATGGACAATTCATTAAGCCTGACAACCGGATCCAATACGTCGCCCCCGAAAAAATGAAACACACACACACACACACGCACGCACGCACTAACACACACATACAGAAAGACGCAGAGAGATAGACACACACACACACATATATACTGTACGTACAAACGCACATACGCAATATTCATGAAAGTGCCTCGACTCACCTCATCTCAATCTGAATCAAAATACTGAGGTTTTCAGTCGTTCTAATTTTTTAGGTAAGAATCGTTAAAGGACGAGACACGTATATCTAACAACAATTATGTTCTTCTGCTGAATCCCCAGCTTAGTTACTGCCCTAGCAAGATTAAATACACTTGCTTCATATATCGATTGTCAAGGTGAACATGAACAGCTCCAGTTTACCTGATTACGGAGAGGCAATCTCTCTCATTCCCATATTAAACTGACTGTAGCAACACCTAGATCAAACTAGAAATGTCTCTCTCATTCCCATATTAAACTGACTGTAGCAACACCTACATCAAACTAGAAATGTCTTTCTCATTCCCATATTAAACTGACTGTAGCAACACCTAGATCAAACTAGAAATGTCTCTCTCATTTTCCCATATTAAACTGACTGTAGCAACACCTAGATCAAACTATAAATGTCTCTCTCATTTTCCCATATTAAACTGACTGTAGCAACACCTAGATCAAACTAGAATTGAAACGTATTAATCAAGTCTCAGAAACAGTAATAGCCTCTTGATTATAGTGAACTTTCAGGGAGCATATAATAAACTTAAATTGAAATATTTATTGATGCCCTAATTCCCAGTGATTATCTTCACGCCAACCCTATTTCCAGTGGTTATCCTGTATCTGTAATCTCCAACAGCCGCGGTATCATGAGATGGGTGCATGTTCTTATGACTGTTGCTATATAGGGAAGTGAATCAAGCAAGTAGTGTATCGCGGTCTGACCATATATAGTCATTTTGTGGTTCTATCAAGATAACAGACAAGCGCTTAGTACGTACTTAATAATCATCTCCTATCAAGTTTACATACACGTGGTAGATCACTTCCTTCTGCATTGTGTGATATAGGCATATTGTTTATCCTCGTGCATTTCTGTATGTAAGGCGAGATAACTCACGATATAGTGTCATGACCGCTCAGTGCAATGTCAGACTGTTGCAAATGCACAAAACAATCATTCTGTTTAAATTCAGTATACATTTGTATTTGTAATAAGTGATTAATCATGTCAATATCTTTTGTTTCAGTAAACATGTCTGAAACTGTCTGTATCGAACACAGCCATCTGTATGGACATTGGATACCAGGGTCATTCAATACGTTGACCCTCGTGACATGGGCGTTGTTTATAGCTGGAGACAATCGGTTCATGAGATATATACACATAACCATATCTGTCTGTACTTAGGACCAACCCGTCATGCTTTAAACCCGTACGCAAAGCCACCTACTGAATACTGATACTCAAAGAAAAACAAACGAAATTTCCCTATTTTGTGTCATCTTTCCTTCCTATTTCATCTATCACCTCATTTTACAGTCTGGTTGCTTCTATTTTAAAAAAATACAGGAATTGTTTTGTAATATACGGGCCCAGTACGGAGGGGTGGGTATTGTCTCCTGGGCGGCTGCCATGTTTCCTCTGTGATAAACACAGATCAGACACGTCATGGCCTATAAACCAGCCTGTGATACACCGCCCGGATGTAACCTCTTGACATCTGTGGTGTGTCGACGTCTTGACCTCGCCTGGACACGCGAGGGTATGTCCACTGCAAGTGTCATAGGCGCGGATTATCTAACCTGCCATTATGGTCATCGTTTGTCCGGAACTGCCAGAGTTGATCTATATCTAAACATCCTTGATGTGCAGTGAGCTGTTCTCAGTTTTCAAACACTGAAACCTCGTTAGTGTGGACACTGGTAAAGCTAACATTCTCCCTGCAGGGAGTCACCTCGTTAGTTTGGACACTGGTAAAGCCAACATTCTCCCTGCAGGGAGTCACCTCGTTAGTGTGGACACTGGTAAAGCCAACATTCTCCCTGCAGGGAGTCACCTCGTTAGTGTGACACTGGTAAAGCCAACATTCTCCCTGTCACCTCGTGTGGACACTGGTATAGCCAACATTCTCCCCTGCAGGGAGTCACCTCGTTAGTGTGGGCACTGGTAAAGCCAACATTCTTCCTGCAGGGAGTCACCTCGTTAGTGTGGACACTGGTAAAGCCAACATTCTCCCTGCAGGGAGTCACCTCGTTAGTGTGGACACTGGTATAGCCAACATTCTCCCTGCAGGGGTCAGTCACCTCGTTAGTGTGTGGACACTGGTAAAGCCAGCATTCTCCCTGCAGGGGAGTCACCTCGTTAGTGTGGACACTGGTAAAGCCAACATTCTCCTGCAGTATAGCCAACATTCTTCCTGCAGGGAGTCACCTCGTTAGTGTGGACACTGGTAAAGCCAACATTCTCCCTGCAGGGAGTCACCTCGTTAGTGTGGACACTGGTAAATACAGCATTCTCCCTGCAGGGAGTCACCTCTGGTAAATACAGTATTCTCCCTGCAGGGAGTCACCTCGTTAGTGTGGACACTGGTAAAGCCAGCATTCTCCCTGCAGGGAGTCACCTCGTTAGTGTGGACACTGGTAAAGCCAACATTCTCCCTGCAGGGAGTCACCTCGTTAGTGTGGACACTGGTAAAGCCAACATTCTCCCTGCAGGAGTCACCTCGTTAGTGTGGACACTGGTATAGCCAGTGCAGGGGAGTCACCTCGTTAGTGTGGACACTGGTAAAGCCAACATTCTCCCTGCAGGGAGTCACCTCGTTAGTGTGGACACTGGTAAAGCCAACATTCTCCCTGCAGGGAGTCACTGGAGGTGGAAGGTAAAGCCAACATTCTCCCTGCAGTGATAGGTCTAAAAAAGTCTAAAAAGATACAGATACTGTCTGCCGAACAGTTATCGCCAGTACATTCTGTGTTTATCCGGAAGTTTGTTGATGTGGGAAGCTAACGTCCCGATTACAGGTACATTAAAATACATAGTAATAAAGTAAATATACTCACTGTCCTATAAACTGGAAGATCAGTTGATGCTGATATCAGTTGTTGTTATGCTTTAACCATAGCGCTTAGAGGTACTGAACTGATTTTGTGCAGTTTCCTGTAATTACATGTATGTTTGTTTTGTATGAATGGAGGTCCACAGATTTGGTAATTGTGCTAAAGTGGAATATATTCAAGAATACTGCATTTATACATCGACGCTGCATGTGCTTGTGGGTGCACGTGTTTACTTGTTATGCAAGGTAATGTCGGTTATATGGTGCCAGTCCACCGAGATACCACACCGCAGTTGGACGTGCATAACTTACTCAAACATATTGGCTCCGAGCCGATCAGTCCTTATTGATCCCTACAGTGATATGACGCGTCAGAGGATGGAAGCACGGATCTGCAGCTGCTCTCCGGGCACCGCCCAATCAGCTCGGCCACCGAGGTGGTCAGTATCTACATCCGCATCCATCGTTCTTTCTCCATGTCATAATTCACCTGAGTGTAAATACTGAATATATCCTACATGCATATGTGTCACCTTGTGCATGGTTTAATGAGAGGGGTACTTCCTCGGGAATAGGATTGACAAAAGATTCATTGTCAGGAACTGGGGGAACTGTCATTGTGTATCCATATAAAGGTTTGTGTGTAACCTGTCACCCTTCACCTGAGACTGACCAGGTAGTATATACCAGGTAGTGAGTTGTGCGTGATAAGGTCTACACGGTAGTCGCTGAGGAAGTGCTGGTATTCATGTACACTCAAACACGTTTTCAGAAAAAGGTGAATTACTCTTCTGGGTCTGAGTAATGTACGTACTGTTATTCACCCCGGTAGACACCTACGCCATCTACATGTTCCACCATATGCTAACACTGCCATACATCCCGGTAGGCACCCACACCGTCTAAATGTTACACTATATACTGACACTGTTATCCACCCCGGTAGACACCCAGAGAATCTACATGTTACACCATATACTAACACTGTTATCCACCCCGGTAGACACCCAGAGAATCTACATGTTACACCATATACTAACACTGTTATCCACCCCGGTAGACAACCAGAGAATCTACATGTTACACCATATACTAACACTGTTATCCACCCCGGTAGACAACCAGAGAATCTACATGTTTCACCATATACTAACACTGTTATCCACCCCGGCAGACACCTTAAAAGCCATGTCGTCCTCCCCTGCATCGCGCACTCCAAATCTTGGACTTGAGTCACCGCCCATGTGCGCTCATCACCGACGATAATGACGTCAAATGTGTCTGCATAATTAACACGATAATACACAATGAAGACAGTTACAGCTGATGCACTCAACTAGACATAGTTCTCATTTCATAATACACAATTCAAAGATATTTGAGTTGGTGTTGTGTAGCAAAACGAATAGCTTATCACCCCGTGTTTTAATCCTGGTCATTTAGGAGCAACAGTGCTTATGTCAGTTAAATCCGTGCTATGTCAGCGGTGAAGTCCCAACTTTGGATGTTACCAGTATTTACGATGAAGTCCTTAAACTGTAGACTTGAACCATGTTATGTCTGCCATACAAATAAAGTCAACAAAATATCGTATGTGTGCACGCCGTATTACTCAATCACGTTATGAGTGAACCCATTATTAGTGAACCCTGAATACTGATGAACTCGCCACTACAGTTACAACAATTTAACTGCAGATGTTGTTACAGCTAAACAAACAACAGTGCCTGCATTTACAAGTTCGTGATACAGGTTACCTCATATATAACATTGATCCATTTACTTGCATCAACCAGACCTAGAAACACACCTCTGCTACCACAGAATGCACGTGCCATATAATCATATGGACAAATCACCGTGAATATAGAGTAAACCTGCGTAGTAATATGTGTGAACAGTCTCAATACGACAACACTAACAACGAATCTCAAGCTTGCTCTGTATGTATTCAGGACATGTATTCAGTGTAATCATCTACTGCCACTCACTCACACACCTCGCATATTCAGCTTTAGTAACAGATGTTGCCTTCATTGCTAGCCAAACCCTGGACATAGTTGAGGCTCGTGTGTATGGCTCCTTGAATACCTTAAACACCACATTCACGGCACATTACGTACGATGAATGTTTCGGTGGGCAGCCCACCCCTCAATGTGGGTCAGCTAGCACTGAATACAGGGCGAAGGCTGGAGGAAATGACTTTTGAACCTACCTAATAAAATATGAAAAATGATTGATTATGTACAAGTACCGTGTTACTTCCTCCACATATTCCACTGCGTTCAATCTCGATGACGTGTTTGTATATGTGACACATGTATCACGATATGTATGTGGTAGATGGTATGAAAGTATTACACAATGCGACAAGTCGACAAGGTGCTCATCTTTGACTCACGATGTGAGGTGGCCTGACCCATGGTGGTGTGAGGTGGCCTGACCCATGGTGGTGTGAGGTGGCCTGACCCATGGTGGTGTGAGGTCGCATCCCTCAGGGATTAACGCGTAGTCTCTGAATATATATAATTTTAATAAAAACAAATAATTTCGTTAAATTAAAAATGAGCCTCAGTAAGATGGGAGATTCAGACCTAGACTTAGTTTATTGAGGCCTTTAGCATTGCAGAAAGGTCTGGGCGGTAGGAAAAATGGCGCTGTACAGAGACTGTGAGACAGACTAGGGGCGGGTGTGACTTCAAGTGACCGTTAACCCCTGACGTCACAGCGTGATAAATGTCGAGGCCAGCGGCACTTAGCAAGTCACCAGGCTTACAATGATAGATTACTCCGGGTTTCATTGATTGGTAACCTTTCCTCTGGGCTAAACTTATTATGTAATCGCCACAGACTGACCAATGGCAAGGACATGTCCATCTCTGCTGATTCTCGGTCACGCACAATGGCCGTTGTGAATTCTTACGATTGCAGTGAAATGTTGGTGATTGATTCGGTAATATTATGCACACAGCTGTCATTCTGGACTGGAGTGTTTCAAACTACAATGCATTACGTATCCGATAGGGAAGTATTATGCAGATGCATAGCTTACTAAGTCCATGTAAGTCCCCACCCCCTATGTCTGTCACATGACCTAGTCAGCTAGCCCTTGGTGTCTGTCAGACCCCACCAGTCAGTGACAGTGACAACCTGGTATAACTGTCGCGCATACAGCGGACCCGGCTGCGGGCATTCGCCCCTCTAGCTTGGCTCTAATGGGAAGCTCTTTGGGATGCATGTGCTGCTTCCTACAGCATATTTGTCATTGATTAGATCACTATAAAGCATATCTGAATCATGTGTTGTTCTGTTGACGACATAATGGTTTATTGAATTGTTCGATCTACTACTTATAATCACATTGTCTGCATATGTTAAGATTGATGTCTAAATAAGGGCAACCAGACAATGCAAGTAGATTGACACATTTGCAGCGAGCATAACGTATATGTTCATTATTAATCATATCCATACCTCGATCGGCTAAAGGATCTCAGCTGAGGCGTTAAACAATATTTACTCACCTGTTTGAACATGTTAACCTATGTTAGCCTAGCTGTATATATAGTTAAACGACTCATCCACTGTATCATGTAACGGTCTGTAACTGTCTGTCGTGACAGATAGAGAGACGGACGGAGAGACAGACTGATATTCTTTGTTTATTCATATTGAATGCAGATTACATATACAGAGATAATTAATATTACTACTTATTATTAATAATATTAATATTAATCAATTACATGTTTATTATGCATGAGGGGTATATATTAGTGTTTTCATAAACATCCACATTTGTAAGCAGTTTGTCTCTTCATACATTCGCTTACTTTAATCACAACTTCGGCCCTCATATTTGTGTTTACATTCCAGTTGATGCCCACCAAGTAAGAACGCAACATCATCTTTCTCTCAGATCTTAACAAATTTATTTACATCAAGAAAATTACATGTCATGTAGTTGTGTGAAAATGTCACGTATATGTGTGGTGTGTGTGGTATGTCGTGTGCCGTCGTGTCTATCATACTGATGTTTCTATCGCGTAGACGTATATGTAGTTGTGTATCATGCAGCTGTGCTGAACATTATAATGCAGGTAGCATAATCAGTCCCCGATGATGCTGTGCACAATATGTTCGAATGCGATTCAGTGCAATGCATGTTAATGCTGGTTTTGACGCTGAAACAATGATATCAAAGTAAAAGAATCGGCTGTAAAATATCGGACGCTCCGGGCCTAACAACCTGTCTTGGTCGCTTTGTGATTGCTGGACCAACAAGTGAAGAAAGTCTTCTTATATTAGTATTGGTCACAATAGTCCGCGTGTGTACAACTGAAACATCGTTAGTGGACGAGCGGAGTCATGTTAGAGATGCATGCACTGACGTATGGCAGTAAGTCCGTCAGCCCAACCGTGGCTACCTGCAAAACGCTGTCACACAGGGGCCAGAATTCCCAAGACAAGAAAAACTAGGTGAGATGGATTTTACGTGCGATTATTGCTGTTATATAGCAACGCACACGCATGAATATGTATATGTTGTTGCTTACACTGGTACAGACTAGTGCTTCGTAGCGTAAGCCCACTGAGATACCATGAAACACTTTACCATTGATATCCTACTGTTATAGGGACTAATTCAGGACAGCCATCGTCCAAATATTTAAAAAGTAAATCTATGTAGTCAAGACATGTGAGACTTTATTGTAATTATTTATATGTAGCTAATCTGTATTCTCTGTAATACTTATCACTTCCGTATTGTACATTGACTTGTCGGGCAATTAATTACTGTGTATGACATTTATAACCTAACTGGTCATCCCCCTTGGCTGTGTCTGCCATCACATCAACTGGTCAAGGAAGTTTTTATATCTGTCAATTGTTGAGTCATCGCTAGTCCATTGTTATCAAAAACTGTATATATATACTTAGTATGCTCACATCTAGACGGTGAAAGAGTACGAGTCAATTATTCCGACTGTCTGTAGGGACGACCACGAGCATTAGAATGCCGCTCGTTGGAAACGTCCTGGGGTTGAGTAGGTAATCCGCTCACCTCAATGTCTTGTGTATTTGTTTGTCATGTTACTAAAGAAGTTTGAACTCAACGTATTCCTTCGTCTTGTCAACGTATTGTACGTATACTTCATGTTTACATATACCTCATATGCATATTGTAGCTGTCACATCGTATAAGGCAATAACAGACGAAGCAGCATAGGTCAACTCCCTCTACTAGTTCCGCGGAAGATACTGTGCCATGTATGTGACGTAGTGACATAAGCTCCCCCCACTCATGAATATTCATGATTTCTGTGCACTTAAGACCATTGTGCGTTTAAGGGCACAACATACGTACACCTCATCTTAATTATGAGCTAATTCCCCAGTCGACGCATATCCACGCGTTGACACTACTCACAAACTGTATACTGACTTTTTTGGCCGTCCAAACCTTCTCTAATACCCTCCAAGTAGGTGAAAGGCAAAGAAAGGGTGCACAGTTAATTTTCACCCGTTTTCACGTGAGTTTCGTGAGTTACAATTGTGATTTAAACTTTCAGGACATAAGTGGGGGTGCACAAACACCCCAAGCCCCCTCCCTCTGGATCCGCCTATGGTTTACGCAAACATTTACAATCACATACACATGGCTATCAGGAATCCATCCCGGTGGCACATATTGTTATGTGGCGGTGTCTAACATTGTGCCACGTGTAATAATACATGACGTGTGTTGAGAGGCTGTGATGAGCTATATTTAGACTTCTGCTATGATTTGAGATCTGGAAGGTACTACAATAAGCTGGAAAATATTCTGGAGTCTCTTTCTTAATATGCATATAAAGGAAGAGCTTACTCTCGCCTCAAGTTATACGAAGATCGATCAGCAGCTGTGTGAAGATGATTCTTACCCTGAATACTCGGCCTATTTTGCAGTGAGGCGAATATTGCCATGTATATCTGTATTGCTTACACAGCCTTTGATTTATTTTGTCTTTGAATTTGTACTGCCGCTGTAACACATGTGCAGCGATGGTAGTGATTTGAATACTTAATCAATTTTAGAATACAAGAGTTAATTATGTGACACTGCTTTCCTGTTTGTTGGTTTCACATCGTGTTCTTTTACGGAACGGTTAGTTTCAACTCGAGAATAAACACGTAATGGTAGAGGACTTACTTAAGGATGTGGTCAAACAGAAACAAAATAACCTTTGAAAGTAGTAAACAAAAACTAAGGTCAAATTCCAATTATAATTAACAGTATTTGAGTATTTGTTTATTTCTTCATTAACACGGCATTCTGCAGTATTCCGGCTGTATGGTGGGGGGTCATATGTGCAAAGTCTAGTGTACCTGAGTT